AGACTTAACCTCAGACTATAAAACCTCTTGTTTATAGCCTCTCCTCTGCTCCTCCCTTATATCAGTATTAATTCCAGATAAAACAAAGATTTACATTTTTTAAATGAAACCATAAAATAACTAGAATTACGCAGATTTCAAAAATAATCTCACAGTGGAAAAGACATAATATGCTACAAAAACCCAAAAGCCATAAACAGTGATAAATTAATGTAAGTAGAAATTAAAGATTTCTGCATAGTATAAAGGAAAACAAAAACCATTATCAAAAGACAAATAAGAAACTAAGGTACCCCTTAAAGTATCCCTACTGAACATTGAGCACCCCCTCACTGAAATTCCGAGTATTGGGACCATCTGGTCCAGTAGCACTGTCACCTCCATCTGTACTGTTGTACTAACTTCTTTTTTGGCAGTAAGGGGAGGGGTGTATTATATTTATTTGTTTTTTAGTGGAGGTACTGGGGATTGAACCCAGGACCTTGTGTATGCTAAGCAAGCATTCTACCACTGAGCTGTACCTTCCCCTCACCGTTGTAGTAAGTCCTTGACTGTACTTTCTGTGTCTGCTTTGACTTCCTTTAGTCTATTCGTCATTCCATTGGAATAACTGAGGATTCTGTTCAAAACACTGATCTGATCCTGTCACTATCCCTTGCTTTAAAGCCCTTTGAGTGGCTTTCTGTTGTTCCTGTGATAGAAACAAAACTCCTAATAACCTACATGGCCCTGCATTATCTGGCCCCACCTACCTTTCTTCATTTCCTGCCACACTATTCCTTCAGGCTTTGTGGTAGAGGCTCACTGATATTTTTGGTTTGGGGGTTATCCGTTTTCCCAACAGAGGCCTTTGCACACGCTGTTTTTTTTCCTGGAGTGTTCTTTTCCTCCATGTTAATTCCTAATCATCCTTTACATCTCAGTGAACCATCACTTTCTTCAGGAAGCCTTATCTGACCTTTCTGATCAGATCTGATTCTACTGTTGTAAGCTGATGGTATGGTGTACTTTTCCTTTCCCCTTTCACAACTGCATTTGTACCTTTATCTGTGTGATGATTTCAATAATGATTGTTTTTCCCAGAGACCATAAGATTCTGTAAGAGTGGGAACAATGTATGTTTTTGTTCATTGAATGTGGTGTCTAATATAATGCTTATAAGAGAGTTTGGCACATAGTTGCATTGCAGCTCAGGGGATAGATGGATAAACAAATAACTGAATGAATATGTACCCCTTAAGGTTTATAGACCCAGTCTTTTGGAAATCCTATAATAGAAGCATGTTTACTGTTGATAGGAGGAAGCTTGAAGCTCTCTGTATGGCTTTATTTACTGTTCTTTTTTCTCTGTAGGTTGCTGATCAACTCTGTGCCAAGTATAGCAAGGAATATGGCAAGTTATGTAGGACCAACCAGATTGGAACTGTGAATGACAGGGTAATGACAGAGACATACTTGTTAAACGTGAAGCAATGGGTGGAATGGGGGTTATTTTATTGCCTGTAGTGATACTGGTGGGTACTTCTTTAATGTAGAGTTAATCTTGGGTTGCACATTTCAGAGAGAGAGACAGACAGAAGAGACAGTCTGACTGGCAGTGCAGTCAACTCCTTACCCCTGCCCTGCACCTCTGATTGTGAGGCTCTTTGTCATCCTGTGTCATTCCTGATTTTATCCCGTCCTTTGTGCCACTTGTGATTTGTGGAGGTAGAAGTGAGGTGGGGAGAAGGGTGGATGAATTTTGATGTGGAAGGCAGCAGTATCAGTCTTTTACCAACATTTGGGGCTTATGTAACGAGAGATATGAGAGATACACAAGTCTAGTAGTGTGCTTTGTGACTGAAAAAAATAATTTAACTGATTGGAACCTTTTTTTTTGCCTCAATTCACCTGTAAAATGACAGGAACAAAGTTTAAAAGTGAGACCTTAGGCTTAGGCAGGTTGATACAGATGCAGCTTAACCCTGGGTGTTTTACTTACAGCTGATGCACAAACTGAGTGTGGAAGCCCCACCCAAAATCCTTGTGGAGAGATACCTGATTGAAATTGCCAAGAACTACAATGTGCCCTATGAGCCTGACTCTGTGGTCATGGTAAGTTTAGTCTTTAAGAGTATAAAGGAAAATGAGTCTTTAGACAGCACTGTCTTTGAAAAATAACCATATTCTTTGCACTCATATTTGTGTGTGAGAGTTTAAACCTTTGTCCAATTAGTGCCTTTTGGGGTAACAAATATGCTTGCATCTCTCACAGCGTATTTAAGGATCAGATGAGATGAATGACTGAAAGCACTTTGAAAACGTACAAACCTTGTTACAAATATAAAATGACATTTCTACTTTTCGATGAAGTTCAAGGAATTGAGAATACCCCCATGGGGGGCAAGAAATGCCCCAAGACCCAGACCACATCTTGAAACATTCATTAGGTGCCTGCCATGTGCCATACAGTGCACAGAAAACTGAGAATACAGAAATACGTAAACAAGGTCCTGTCCTGAAGAGGCTTACAGTGTGAGAAGGGCAAATATACAGATAGTAACTCAGCAGTGAAGGTTGTTGGGGTACAGTAGATGTTTTGGTGTGCTGCTCAGTCAAGCCTCCTCCACCCCAATACACACACAGTTCAGGAAAGCAGCATTTATTCCCTTGGCTCTTGGAAGTATTGATGACTGGTGGCTCACACACAGCTGAGTGTCCCTCCAGTATCTCAGAAGAGAGCTTCCCTACCCAAAGTCTTTCCTAGGGGCAGATTGTATTCAGTACCTGGTCATTATAGAGGTTTAAAGACTCTGCCCTTTTGCCCCAGTTGGGGACGCATGGTATAGGCCCATCCTAGCTCCAGATCTCGGGGGGATTAGCTGAGGCCTTTGTTGTAACTATATGGCCTCCCAACTTCTCATTCCTTTTTATGTATATATATATGTATGTATGTATGTATGTAGTTTTAAATGGAGGTTCTGGGATTATATATATATGTATGTATGTATGTATGTATGTATATATATGTATGTATATATATGTATGTATATATGTATGTATGTATGTATGTATGTAGTTTTAAATGGAGGTTCTGGGGATTGAACCCAGGACCCTGAGCATGCTCAGGATATGCTCTGCCACTGAGCTCACACTGCACCTCCCTCCATCCCTTATCTTCTTCCTTTGCCCAGCCTTGCTCTCTTCACCTCCCTGCAGGTCTTTATCCCAAGAGACCTCTCCAGTAAACTTCACACTCATCTTATCTCAGAGTCGGCTTCCTGGGGAACCTAGCCTGTGACAGGGCCTAATGATATGGGCTTTCCTCTTGTTCTTAGGCAGAAGCTCCACCTGGAGTAGAGACAGATCTTATTGATGTTGGATTCACAGATGATGTGAAGAAAGGGGGCCCTGGAAGAGGAGGTGGCGGCGGGTTCACAGCACCAATTGGTGTACCTGATGGAACACTGCCAATGCCCATGCCCATGCCCATGCCGTCTCCAAGTACTCCTTTCTCATACCCGCTTCCGAAGGGACCAGTAAGTATACATATAAATAAGTATGGATATAAACTCTAGAAAATGTAACATGACAGGTTGGCTCTGTGATATACTCAGGAATTGTAGGTTGTCAAAGATATTAAACAGTAAGAACATTTGTATTAGCTTAGTGGTCATATTGTGGGAAAAAAAACTGGGATTTGGAGAAGTCTTTTGGTTCCCTTACAGGTAATGAAGTGGGAAAATCTAGAGAGATGGAGCTAGAAAAAATTTTTTCATGTAGGCTTACTGAACACCTTTGGGACTTGAGGGCATACTGAGTAGCTTTTTCCAAAAATGAGTAACCACCACCTATTAACAAGTAGAATAACCTGCTTTGTAGACAAGAAGTTGAAAGTCATTGATAGCAAGAAAGTCTGATAAAAATCTTGCCTTGTAGATATTGAAGCAGTTTAGTAATTTGAAGAATAGCCTTTGGCAACAGATCTTTAAAAATCTGGAATCCTCCTGATCACTGTTGAATACATATATTAAATACATACCTTGAATAAATTTATTCATTATATCATGTCATTATATCAGTATGAATGTATTCACATTGAGAAAATAGTTGTACACACACACACACTCACTCACTCACTCACTCTTCTCCCTTCGCTTCTACAAACCTCAGAAATTGCAGATGGGGACAGTGTCTCTGATGTTGCCTTTGTTCTCTTGCAGTCGGATTTCAATGGATTGCCAGTGGGAACTTACCAGGCCTTTCCCAGTATTCATCCACCTCAGATACCAGCAACTCCCCCATCCTATGAATCTGTAAGTGCCTGAGCCTCTTTTATAAGCAGCAGGAGAGTGAATCCCAGGAAGAGAGAGCAAAATAATGGCCAAAGGGAAGGCAAAGTTTTGTTAACTCCTAGTACCGCCATTGCTCTATGCTTTGGATTTTTGTGTTGCTTTAACATTACCCTGGAATGGGGAGTGGTGGTGGCAGCAGCATCATTGGTGGCAATGCTTTGTGGGCACTAAAGCCAGGAATCAGGAAGGAGCTGCAGATCCTAGAAAGTTCTGGACTTAACCAGACATTTTTTTAGACTAACTAGACAGAAGATCATACTGAGCTGGTATAGTCTTGGTACTAGAATATAATCATTAAAATACCAATTTTATAAATTCTCAGCACTGTAAAGGAATAGCAGCCAGATTTTTGTCTTAAACAGAGAAGTGTCTAGTTTAAATTTCAGTCTATAGCCTTAATTTTATATTTTAGTCTTGTAGTTAAAACTTGCTATAATAGCTAATGTAGTAATGATGCCTTGATCTATAGGTGGTTGTAATAGCTTTGGTTCAGAATTTAGATGACTTTTCTGCCTGCCTTGTTTCTCAGCCTTTTGAGACCTGCTTCCATATGATGCATTACTGAGAAAACAAATTGGTATGGTGTTTGCTGTGGAAATTATTCGTATAGGGCAATTCCCCCTGTTCCTGGGCTTGCTTAGTGTTGTTTTTTTTTTTTTTGTTTTTACATTGGCCCTGAGTTTTTAATGTTTTGGTTTTGCATGCATTAAAGCATTGCCCACAACTGTTTCTAGGAATGAGGCAGAAGATCTTCACTAATATTTGAGAACTTGCTTCTTGGTTTAGTGCTTTCTCTCTGCTCGGAAGGGAAAGGTATCAGATTAAAAAGAGGTTACGGTGTGATAAGAGTTTTCTTTTTCTCTTCTCGGCAGTTAAGAGTTAAGCATGATATCTATGTGGTTGGAAGAACAGGAAAGGAGTCTAGAGGGCAGAAGGGCAGTTTCTTTGGAGCAGGTTCTGTTGCTTTTGCTGAACAGCTTAGCTTTTGCAAAATACATGGGCTCATACCATTACTTCACCAGTGATGCCATTGCTTTCTCTTCTGGTAATGATCTTTGTGTTTCAGGTTGATGACATTAATGCTGATAAGAATGTCTCTTCTGCACAGATTGTTGGTGAGTGTGAGTCAAACCCTCAGTGCTCATTTCTGAACCCTTTGCTGTTTTCTCATGACTTTTTCTCCCTCAGGCTGTTTTATGTTTGTGGCATTCTACTCACATGCCCTGTCCTCTCCCCCAATGCAGTATGGTGGAAACAACTCAGGATTTCCCTCTTTCAGAAAGAAAAGATCTTTCCTGGCTCCAAAAAAAGTCTCCCGAGTTCTCTGTTTCTATTGGTGGTATCATTATTCTTTTTCACCGTGTGGTTTTTAATCACCCCTAAGCTCTTTATGTTCCTGCTGCTTCAGCTTCCATTGTGCCTGGAAATACTAATTTTTTTTTTTTAATTTGGGCAGTAAAGCAGGGAAATTAGGCACAAATCGTAAGTGAATAGCTGAGTGACTTTCCACAAAGCAAGCATGCTGATGTAGCCATTCACTCAAAAAATAAAACACTACCAGCTCTCCAGAAACCCAGAGAGGGGGATACTTCTTAACATTGGAGACAGTTGTTTTATTGAGGTATAATTTACATACAAAAATACACCATTGTATATTTTGATGAGTTTTGATGTGTGTATGTATATGTGTACACACATTATGTAACCACTACCTCTTGATTGTAAATCTAAAGCTATAGAACATTTCTATCACCCTAGAAAGCTACTTTGTGTTCCTTTCTAGTCTGTTCCACCCTAAAGGCAAGCACTGTAGTTACTTTCTAAAACTACTGTTTAGTTTGCCTGTTCAAGAACTTAGATGTAAATGGAAATGCAGTAGGTAGACAGGGTGATGATTTTAACTTATAAAGTGGAAGACTAGAAATACAGATCAGATTCTATTGAATCAAACAATATGGATGTTAACATTCTTTATAAAATTTTTCCTCCTGAGCTTTAAAGAGTAGCTCATCTCAACAAAATTCTAGTACCACTTCTTGAACTTTGTTACTATGGGAGCAGACCATTGTGAAAGGGGACAGTCTGTTCAAATGAGTGCTGTGTATCTAGCCCTATGCACCACACTTTGACTTTTCCATAAACTTTTTTCTCACTGTAGGAAAGTAAAACATAGAATTCAACTATAATTAGAAAATGAAGCTGGAAGTTTTTACTAACCTTCAGAATTAAACAATAATCATTTTTTAAAAAACCAGTGTTTCCTCTAGTACTTTGATTCTTTTATTATTTCTGCCACAGGAGACTGTGGTCTTTGAGGATCTGAGCCAATTCTCTGGTGTTTGTAACACTGTGCTCCTTGCTCTAATTTCATTAGGTCCGGGACCCAAGCCAGAAGCTTCTGCAAAGCCCCCTTCCAGACCCATGGATACCTATGACAACTTTGTACTCCCAGAGTTGCCCTCTGTGCCAGACACACTACCAACTGCATCTGCTGGTGCCAACACCTCAGCATCTGAGGACATTGACTTTGATGATCTTTCCCGGAGATTTGAAGAGCTGAAAAAGAAAACATAGGCCTGGTAAACCAGACAGCGTCCAGGTTCTGGGACTCGAGACTGAGCAGTTTCTTCTTGTAACCAAGAATCTCCATGAAATTCTGTTTCTTCTGTTAACCATCACTGAGTACACTCTTCCTCTGGGCTCTCTTCCTGCTCTACCAAACTCTGCTGCTCCTGAAGGACTAACAACTGGAGGACTCTGTGAAGTTGCAGCAGCTGGCTCTTGGCAGCCATGCTTATCCGTTTCCTGTCCATGTGATCCAGCTTCTCTCCTTGCCTGTCCCACGCTCTCTCCACAGGGGAGTGAGAAGGTGAAAAGTATTGTAGGGAGAGTACTCCATGAAGTGTCTCAGCCCTGTTCTGAGGTTCTAGACTTAGAAACACACCCCTCTGTACAAAGGGACTTGTGGTGAGATTCAAGGCCAAGGCATGTATTTTCTCACTCTAATATGAATGGGAGAGAGAGAGAAAATGGTTCATGAAGCCATTGTAACTGTTCTTGGAAGTTGGGTCCTCTCATTGACATATACACTACTTCTTGCTGCAGGGCACTGTCCCACCCGGATCCAGTTGGAAAGGTTATTTGGAAAGTTGAAGGCCTCTCTTAGTTCTGCTGGATTCTCAGGGAGCCCTCTGTGGCCTTTTGGCTTTGAGTGCTGTTTGCCTTTTAATCGAGGGCAGCACTGCATAAATTCCTGTTTTTCCCCATAGCATGGTTCTGTTGGATCGCACTACCGGCCAAGGAAGGACAGGCCACATACTGGGCAGACGTTACCATTCAAGGGTAAGGTGGACTTCCAGTAGCCTTAATAGAAATATTCAAGCTTCTTGAGTAGTGAGCTGGAAAGCCTATGGGTGAAGAGGGGTTCCTGTTTTCACTTGAAAACTTTGATTAAGAGAACCTTTAAAAACTGATCTCAGATAAATTTTTGGTGCCCTTATGGCTGTGGTTGTTTGCTGCTTTCTTCGATGGATGAGACTCTTGTTAAACTGTTTTGCCCCTCTAGCTAAGGCCATCTTTCCCCACTGGGGTGGCTTTAGGATCAGAAGATACGACTTTGACTTCTGTGTGGTGTATCTCTACATACTTGTTTCAAGGAACTTTAATATTTTTGATTGATTTGTATCTCATAGCTCAGAAGCTGATAATAAAGTTAAAAATTCTATGCCCTGCTTTCTCCATTGTTTTGGCTAAATGATGAGGGGCAAATGTGGATGTTAATGGAGAGTATTTTAAGCAAGTGACCCATATGGGGCACAAGCTAGACATTACCTTTGGCTCCCTGAGTAATATGGATGGATGCCTGTAGCAATAAGGAGCCCATTTCAGTCTCTATTTTAAGCCCAGATAGTATCTGTGAGTTGGCTTGGTTACTTCTCTGTGATAGGGCCCCCCCCCAGTTAGCCAAATCTCATGCTTTTATCTTTAATTACAGTTACAGTGAGCTTACTTCTGACTCATTCATATTTCCCACCGTCGTCCTGGAACATGAGTGATGAGTACTTGCTCCTTGGCAGCAGAGCTGGTTTATCCTGTATCATTCTTGCAGTGTTGACCCTCCTGACAGTTCCGTAAGCATAAGAACTTGCAGCCAAGGGGATTTTGATTCTTCACTGACTTACAAAATTTAAAAAGTATATTATAAACATTTATAGTTTACACTATGCAAAGATCAGTATTAATATGCTAAGAAGTAATAAGCCAAGGTAGGAGGATTAAGATAGTCCATCTTTTAAAACTTCATTTGTCAATACCGATTGCTGTTACAGCTATTTGCTTACATGTGTTCTGGGGCCTCTGGATTCCTAACAGACTTGAGAGCTTCTGTAGCAACATGTCTGTCAGTGCAGCTTCTTTCTGAGTCTATTTGAAGACAAAAGGAGAAAAGCAAGCAAATTGAAATTGTTGCTAATGTTGGAGGAAAAAAGTGCCAAAGATATTTTTTTAAAACCAGATATAAAGTATATAGTAAAGATACTGTTCCCTTTAATGGTTTACCATCAGTCATTGGAGTGTTTCTGCTACTTAATAGTTGAGGGCCAGCTATTTATAGGACAGTAGATAGAGACCATAATGCAATATTGGTAAACTGGGTTTCCTAGGAAAATGGCTGGCAGAGCTATGGAGACTAATAAAGGGAACATGCTGATACTGTGTGTTATGTCAGTCTGTAATCTTTTGGCAGCTAAATTTGAGCTTTTCTAGTGATACAAAATCATGATATGGTTTACATTTCAATTACTGAACCATAGAGTTACGTACCTTAAGGGACTTTCTTTCTTTACCAAAGGACATAAGAATGGCAGATACAAAAAGGTTAATGATTACAAGTACCATCGAGACGACACTGGTGAGGATCAGAAAGGAGCCCAGGACTGGGTTTAAAGCAATAACCTGGAAAGACAATAGAACACTTCAGTTTAAACACTGACAGTTTAATTTCCACTTGAAAAATGCAAGTTTTGTGCTACTGTTTGGGATATATTCACATAAGAAGACATTTGTGTCTGGCAGAAACTTGGGAGAAAGGCAAAAATATTAAAAAGGAAAATACTTTTAAGTGGACAGAAGAACAAGAATGACTGACTCAATGGGTGTAAATAGTTGTACTTTCAGGGCTTTTCAAGAAGCAAACAGGTGAGTTGCAATGGAATTATAAGTGACTCAGCCCATGTGAGTTTTGGCAATTTTGGAAAATATATTTAAACATGGATGTTTCAATGAGTAGCAAAAGTATATCAGACTACACAGATACCAGAAGTGGTAATGAAAACTGTCTCTGCCATTCTACTCTGACAATAGGCGCATTCCATTAAAACTGAACAGGTTAGCCATAGAAAACTGGCTTTTAAGGTTTTTTTTTCCCCCTCACTGTTATCTTTAAAAGTGTAATTACTAAATTTTGCCATTAGTTACTTTTCAGCACAAAGAAATCGTTTTCAAATTTAGGACTTACCAGAATGGTTTCTGTAACAGTTTTCTTTTAGTTCAGGTATTCTTTTTAACCAGTGATGATTATTTTCCTTTCGTATTGGCTCATTCATTGTTGCCATTGGGCACGATTTTAAAACAACCAACAGCTTAGAGGGTGAATACTTATAATAAATACCACTGTGATGGAAATCTATATGACAGAACATTTCCTAGTACCACCCTATATCTACTTATTAAAAGAGTGTAATCATAACAACTCCAAGTCAGCCAGATAGTTTGGGCAATCTCTGAGTTTGTAAGACTTTTCCTGGTAAGTAAAATCCATTTTTACTTTCACACTGTATGATTGTGACTAGAACAACAGCAACAAAAAGTTTAGGTGCTAACAAAAGTTTATTATTCTGATTGTTACTTCCTTAACTTCCTTTAGTGTGTGAAGTGTTCCAGGGGTGAGAGCTTCATTCTCCAGTGATTGGGGTTCTCAGAACCACAACAAAATATTCCACCCAAAATAGCAGTTATATCTTAGATCTTAGGAAGATGGTAACTTTCCACATTAGAAACAATGTTAACTTACTCATTTTAATTAATAACCTTTGAATTCTAGATTATTAGAATGATAGGCTTTGATGAAAAATCTTGCCGGTTTCACTAATTTGAATTGCAGTTTTTTCTTTCCTAATCAAATCTATATATGCTAATATTTGGGACCCAAAACCTCATTTGGGTTTCCCACTTTATTTTTTAGGTTGAATAGAAAGGGATTTGTGAAGGTAGTTCCTTGGGGAAAATAGCCTCTCTGAAATTAATGTTTTTTAACTATAAACAGAAGTATTGCAGTTCTTCCTGGGATTGTACCTCTAATTTTTAAGTTGCTTCCATTGCACTCTTTAAAGGGCCATTGAGAAAGCTGCAGCAAAGCATGTTAATCTAGCTAGGTATGGGAGCACAAGTTCGGGCCCCATGTCTTTGGTACTGGCACAGGAGAGGCTGCTTTTATAAGCAATTCTCCCCTTAGATATATTAAATCAAATAGAATTCTGCAGGGAAACCAGGATGAGGGTTTTCACCTCCTTGTAATGAGAGATTCCCATCAGGAGACCAACAACAGTCACTGCTGAGCTGAAAAGAGTTCGGTAGTCAGAGATGCTCCATCCAAACAGCAAGTTAAACTGAAAGGAAGATCGGACAGTTAGGGGGTGGAGAGCAGTGGAACAGACTGTAGTTCTTTCTGTGTTGAGGTGCTTGGTAATGGTGAGGTCAGTGGAGAACTAATGGAATGGAATTAAACTCCTTCGTAGCCATTCAAATTACTATACCTAAAAACTATATAAAATTCTTTTGTAATTACACAGTGTTTTTATATAAATTTGACTTTCATATCCTGTGAGCTAAATTTTATCCCTATTTTAGAGATGAGACAAACCACCTGAGTTTGTCGTACTGCTAGTTAACTATGGACCTACACAGCTAAATCCAGCTCTTACTCCACTATCTTCTTCAAAACTCACTGCCAGCTTGAACTGATGATTTTCCATTAAGCGACCTTTTCTAAAGGAAGCAACGTGGTTCCAAGACCATAGCACTTAGGAAAGACAGCCCAGACCCTGGGAGTGGGCACTTACAGCAATGGCATAGCCTGACAGCAGGATCAGGATGACCAGCAAGAAGCCCAGCACCTCGTCCCAGGCTTTGCTGAGTGTTCTCCCAATGACCTGCAGTCTGAGGTTTTGACGCAGCAGGTTCCATAGCTGAACAGTTGCCAGTAGAACCAGGAAGCCCATGAGGTGAATGACAGCTGAGTTCACTTTTACTGCCTCATAGAAGTTGATGAACCTGTACCAAGGAAAGCTGGCAGTTATTCAGCGTGAAGTGTATGCCATCATCAATTCCTGTGATGTCATTGTCTCCAGTGTGCCTGCTGGAAGTGCAGCAGCTCTGTAAGTTCCATTAGGTCAAATACTCGATGTTAGAATGCTGCTTTCCTTTATGGCCTCTTGACTTGTGACTTGATGGAAGAGCACTGGCAGAAGGCTGCATATTTGGTTGGGAGCTGTCCTGAAGAAACCTTGAAATGCAAATCCTGGCTGATGACTCTATATTCAGCCTCTGAATCTGGAGGAACCAAGAATCAAGGCCAGTCTCCTCCACTGCTCTGATTTGAATTTAACTCACCTCCTTTTGAGAGGAGAGATTTACCTAATGAGATTTGTCATTATGCTAGTCTGTTTTCTGTGAAAACACTAATTCTGTATCATTCTCTGACAGTAGAAAATTGATCCTCTAATAGGTTTAACAGTGCTGAGAGCAGAAAGATGATTAAACTGGAGGTGAGGGGTGTTACCAATTAAGTTTTACTGGTTTTTGTTTAACCTGTTAGGTTTTGTTATGTGAGAGATACATTCATAGTTTTGTGTTGCAGCACCTAGGTCACTTCAAAGACCCCCATAGATACTATCAAGCTAGCACTCAATCACAGTTCTTTTATTGTCTATGACCTGGGCCACAATGTCACACAGCAAGCTGGACCTCAGCTGCCAACACCATTCTAACTGCACAGACCCACATCCCTGCATAAAAACCCTTTATAAGGCCTTCCTGGGACACTGCCTGCGCCATACACAGATCAGTGCCCAGGCTTTTGACCACTGAAAGGTTAGAAAAGCACCACGTGGCAATACTTGGTCTGGGAAACAAATGCTCTTCCCCATGACAGACCAGAGAAGGTACCCAAAGTGGCACCAGACCGTCTCTTGGAATGAATGAGCTAATGGATGAACATCCCTCCCCAGAATGCAAACCCCTTTGGATTTAGAGGATGTTCTATGTGTTGTGATTTTATTTAAAGAATGATCATTTGTCATCTCAAAGCTTTATTCCTTGCCTAGAGTGCAAAATAATGACCCACTTCCAGGCCTTTGCTATGTGAAATGTAATTGCATTATCCTTTGATAAGCATATACCTAAGTACTATGAAGGCAGAAGAGCTTTTCAATATGATTAGCAGTATAAATGGTTTTTACTTAATTCTTTTCTCTGCTTTGGACGGTAGTCTGAGTTCTGTGTTTAACTCTGGTATTATATAGAGATCTGGCAGAACAGTTGAGGAAGGGGGGAGTCAAAGAATACTTGTGTAATCAGCTAACTTTGGACATCGAGTAGTAATATCCTTTGCTCCTCAGGCTCCCTCTTACCTGTCCGGGTCACAGTGGTATTGTGCCATGTTTTCCTTATGTAGAGAGATAAACTTCATATCAAGCCCCAAGATGACAAAGCTAATGAGGATTATGCTCATGTCTAGAATGTTTCTTTTCCTAGTGAAGAACCTCCACCTCTGCTGTTTCAGCTGGCGACCCTAAACACAGACACCACAGTTAACCATTGCTTGTCTGAAAGGTTAGCTAGGCCTTTTTCCCTAGTGAAGTGTTATGAACACTGAAAAAGCACTCAGCCAGGGACTTTTCAAGTCCCTTACTTGGATACAAAGGGTTATAGTCTTGGTTCTGCTCTGTAGTCACTCAGAGCTGCTGCTTACAGAAGCGTTGGTCTACTCTAATACGACTTTCATTGGATACATTCATCTTTTTCTTGTTCAGTAAACTTAAGGATAAGTAATTTTTAAAAAGTTTCTAAATTAGTTATCAACCCTAAAAACAAAACACTGTGTTTGGCTTAAGATATATTCTCTTTTCGGTGCAGTCATCTGCATTTTTGAGTACTTGTTCTGTTGGTCATACCCTCAATCTCTTGCTAACACCTTGCACAAGGGCAATATAACTGTACAAAACATACTCTTTCTATAAATTCTTTAACTCTTGAAAATTGAAAGAGCTACTTGATGGAAAGTCTGTAGCTTTAACTGAATCCAGGCTTCAGGAAAGGCTCAAAATCATAGCCATAATCCTGATAACAGCTCACTGTGGAGCTCCCCAAATAATACCTGGTGACCTTGAGAATTTCTTACACCTAACATTTGCAGCTTACCTGTATGAAGACATAGTAACAGACTAGAAGATAATAGATGACTTGTGAGATGATAGACCAGGCAAAGTCCTTTGATGTCTGAAGAGAAGTTAGTACGTCCAGTTTTACAGAGGTGAAGAAAGCACCTGAGAATAACAAAGAACACCTGGAGTCAAGACCCTTTAAAATTTTTGCCCTCTTCCCTTCCAACTCTGGCTTTGAGATAACCCAAACTGGTCCTGTATCATCAGTCTCCAGTGTTCCACAATCTCTGCACTCTGCTTATTATTTCCTCTAGAACTGTCATGAATATTAAATGGGGCCATGTATGCAAAGCTATTGGAGAAATGTGCTGATTGCACTAAAAGTCTATAGAGGGAAAGGATTATACTGTTGATGCACCTAGTGGGCAGTGTCAATGGCTCTTAACTGCTGTTACAGGTGTAACTCTTACCAAGTGCTGCAGAGATAAATTAACTAAATTGTACTGTTGCAAAATCATGTTTCAAAGAATTGATGACTGCAACGTAAAATGTGGGGAGAATGGAATTAAACATAAGCATGGTTCGTTTGTTTGAAGCTATTCAAAATACATTTCAAAAATGAGTATGATATAAAAATGCTTTGAGCCTTTTCAAATTTAGACACTTTCTATGTGTAAGGTACTAATAGCCCATGAATACTACAAGTATCCCATGCATACTCAGATATTTATGAGGACAGACTAAAAAGCTTCAGACTCCACCTTGAAGGACAGTGAGATTGGTAATGTTTATAAGATCATGAAATGTCTTATGAATATAAACTTCATAAAGTCCCAAAATGTTAGAACTAAGATGCACCACTTGTAGTAGAAAGTACATTTAACAACAAAAGGAATTCCTATTTTACATAGCTAACTCTCAAGACTAGGATGTTCCCCATGTTTATTTTACCTCATTCTAGGGGTAGTTACTAACCATAAAAACCCTGTGAAGACTCTCAGAAAGTCTTCATGTTTCATTTAGAAATAAGTATAGCAAAAATGGTCAACTGTATGTGGGTCTGGGAGGAAAAAAATTCTGATTAGAAGTAATTCCTGGTGGTGGTAGAAGGACACTTGTGAGCAGATTCTGGGGGGGAGAAGAACGGAAGGAGAGGAGAAGTAGGATTAGGCCAGACTTCCTGTTAAAGGTAGAGGAATTGAATTTACCAGTTTCCCTCCAATCCCATACAAAATGCCACGTTGACAGTAAAGGGATAAAAAATGACCCAATAAAAGATAAAGAAGAGAAGGGCAGATGAGAGTTACAAACTGTTGGAAGCTGGAAAATAGATGAATGACACTGTCTTACCAGATTCAAGAAAGCTAAAACTAAGCCAGCAGTGCAGGAAATCCAGAAGCAAGCCACTTCTTACCACAAAACCCTAAAAAGGCTGAGAAGTTGGAGGCATCGAGTACCTCCTAATGAAGGTCAAAAAGAACTAAAGAGTTAGGGGGATTGACTGCAAGTTTGGACATAAGCAATTAAATCCCAGATTTCCTCTCTCCCCTTCACAACCATATATTTACTACCCATCCTGCCTTCCACCATCCCCAAGACTATAAAGGCTTATTTCCTAGTTGTGTTGAACTAGAGAGAATCTCAACTCAGGACACCAGGTACATCTGCGAGTAGTGGTCTGCTGGAAAAGGGAATTCAGGGAAAGTTTATATATTGCATAGTGAGACCCTTCTCACTGCCCTTCTCTCAACTGGCACTGAGAAGTCTAACAGGCTTGTATCTTCAAGGCATGAGTTTGGAGCCAGAGCTCACTTTCTCTCATGAACACACCAAAATCACAACTACAGAACAACCATTAATAAAAAAGACGAACCTACTAGAAGAGATCTTCCATAACTAAAGACATAAAGAAGAAACCACAACGAGACAGGTAGGAGGGGCAGACTCGTGGTATAATCAAATGCCATACCTCCCTGGGTGGGTGATCCACAAACTGGAGAATAATTATACTGCAGAGGTTCTCCCACAGGAGTGAGATATCTGACCCCCATATATCAGGCTCCCCAGCCTGGAGGTCTGCCACTGTGAAGAGGAACCCCCCTCCCCCGCAAGACTATTTGGCTTTGAAGGCCAGCAGGACTTAATTGCTGGTGTGCCATGGGACTAGGGGAAATAGACTTCACTCATAAAGGACACAAAAATCTCACATTCATTGGGACCAAGGGCAAAAGCAGTAATTTCATAGGAACTTGGGCCAGACTTACCTGCTGGTCTTGAGTCTCCTGGGGAGTTGGGGGTTGCTGTGGCTCACCTTGGGGATATAGACACAGTGGCGGACATATCAGAGAGTATTCATCTACAAGAACTCCTTCCTGGAGGCAGACATCTTGGTTGGGTCATTAGCACCAAGACCTGGCCCTACCCAACAGTCTGTAGGATCCAGTGCTGGGACAACTCAGGCCAAACAACTAACTGGGTGGGGATGTGTCCACATCAGCAGACAGGCTGCCTATAGACTTCCTGAGTCCACAGCTGCCTCTAGACACACCCCTAGACATGGACCTGCCCACCAGAGGGCCAAGACCCAGCTCTACCCACCAGTGGGCAGGCAGTGGCCCCTCCCTGCTGGAAGCTTGCACAAGCCTTTAGACCAGCCTCATCCACCAGGGGATAGACACTAGAAGCAAGAAAACTATCATCCCACAGCCTGCAGAATGAGTCTGCAAATGCAGGCCATACTCTACTCTAGGACCAGCTGGCCTCTGGCCTTTGGGTTATGAGAAGGGAGTGCACTGCTAGGATGCATAGGACGTATACAGAGAGCCACTTTTCCAAGATCAAGAAACATAACTAACCTACCACATACATAAAAATAGAAATTTAGACAAATGAGGTGGCAAAGGAAGATGTTCCAGACAAGTGAACAAGATAAAATTTCAGAAGAACTAAGTTATGTGGATATAGGCAACCTATCTAAGAGCTCAGAGTAATGATCATAAAGGTGATGAGAAAACTTAGGAGGAGAATGGATGCACAGAGTGAGAAGGTAGAAGTTTTTAACAGAAAACATAAAGGAGCACCAGAGCTGAAGAATACAATAGCTAAAATGAAAAATACACTAGAAGGAATCAACAGTTGACTAATGAGGCAGAAGAATGGATCAGTGAGAGCTGGAAGACAGAATGGAAATCACTACTGCAGAACAGAAAACAGGAAAAATAATGAAAAGAAATGAGGACAGTTTAAGAGACCTCTGGGACATCATCAGGTGCATTAATATTCACATTACAGGGGTCCCAGAAGGAGAAAAGAGAAAGGGTCTGAGAAAATACTGGAAGAGAGAATAGCTGAAAATTTCCCTAACCTGGGAAAAGAAACAGTCACCCAAGTCCAGGAAGTGCAGAGTCCCATATAGGATTAACCCTAAAAGGAATACACATAGACATAATGTAATTACAGTGACAAAAATTAAAAAGAATATTAAAAACAACAAGGGAAAACAAGAGGTAACACAAAGGAACTCCCATAAGACCATCAGCTGACTTTTCAGCAGAAACTGCAGGCCAGAGGAGAGTGGCACAATATATTTAAACTGATGAAAGGGAAAAAAACTACAACCAAGAATACTCTACCCAGCAAGGCTCTTGTTCAAATTTGATGGAGCAGAAGATTTACAGACAAGCAAAAGCTAAAACAATTCAGCAACACCAAACCAGTTTTACAGCAAATGCTAAAGGAACTCTAGGCAGAAAGGAAGAGGCCACAACCAGAAATGAGAAAATTATGAAGTGGAAAAGCTCACCAGTAAAGACAAACATATGGTAAAGGTAGGAAATCATCCACCCACAAACTAGTAGGAAGGTTAAAAGACAAATGTAGTAAAATCATCTGTATAGACAGGAAGCAGTTAAGGAAAATACAAAACAATTAGATGTAAAATATGGTATCAAAACAGTAACGATGAGGAGAGGAGAATACAAATTCAGGGTAGTTAAAATGTATTTGAAATTGAGATCAGCAATTTATATACATGACTGCTTTTATGTAGACTGCTATACCAAAACCTCATGGTAACTAAAAACCAAAAACTACAATAGTTATACACATAAAAAAAGGGATCCAAACATAATGCTAAAGGTAGTCACCAAATCACAAGATACGAGAACAAAAGAGGAAAAGGGGGGAAAAAGATCTACAAAAACAAATCAAAAACAATTAACAAAATGGCAGTAAGAACATATATATTGATAATTACCTGAAATGTAAATGGACTGAATGCTTCAACCAAAAGACACAGACCAGCTGAATGGATACAAGAAGACCCATGTATTTGCTGCCTAGAAGAGACTCACTTCAGCTCTAGTGACACATACAGACTGAAAGTGAGGTGATGCTCCAATGAAGACATATAAATGGCCAATAGGCACATGAAAAAATGCTCAATATCACTAATTATCAGAGAAATGCAAATCAAAACTACAATGAGGTATCACCATACCAGTCAGAATAGCCATCATTCAAAAGTCCACAAACGATAAATGCTAGAGAGGGTGTGGAGAAAAGGGACCCTTCTACACTGTCGGTGGGAATGTAGTTTGGTGAAGCCATTATGGAAAACAGTATGGAGATTTCTCAAAAAACTAAAAATAGACTTACCATGTGATCCAGCAACCCCACTTCTGGGTATCTATCCAGAGGGAACTCTTAATGCAAAAAGATACATGCAACCCAATGTTCATAGCAGCACTATATACAATAGCCAAGACAAGGAAGCAACCTAAGTGTCCATTGACAGATAACTGGATAAGGAAGTTGTGATATATTTATACAATGGAATACAACTCAGCCATAAAAAAGAATAAAATAATGCCATTTGCAACAACATGGATGGACCTAGAGACCACCATCATTCTAAGTGAAGTAAGCCAGAAAGAGAAATAAAAACACCATATGGTATCACTCATATGTGGAATCTTAAAAAAAAAAAAAAGGGACACTATGAACTCATCTACAAAACAGAAACAGACTCCAGACTTAGTAAACAATCTTATGGTTACCAGGGAAAGG